CACCCGTTCCCTTCCCCACCGCCCCACCCAGCCCCGTTCCCCTTCTACAGGAGAATTGAGACCAGGCGTGGGAAAGTACTTAAAACGGGGGACTGCGTAGAATTAATACTTAGAAACGGAATGGCTACGTTAGAGGTTACACACTTAAAGTTGCGTTCCATAATGCCAAATTGTAAAACAAAACCAAAAACTTGTAGACCAAAAAGTTGTCACCAAAACCTACGAAATAGCCCATAAATCGGCTGGGGAGGAAAGGTTAGCTTGATCGCCCGGACTCCGTCCTAGGAAACAGTGCACAGAGATAAATATACCTGTGCTCAAGGGCGAGCTCTCCAAAGATTAAGTGAAAGCAAAATGTGGAACAGGGCACTGTACTGGAAAGACGTAGTTTACAGAAAGACGTCGGAGTTGGGTGTGTGTGTGTGATGCCTATATGTGTACATAGTGATTCCTACCTACAACGACAGCCAAGTCATGCACTTTCCAGCTGTTAGTGCGTTCATTCAGTGATTCCACGAGGCACTTGCTATTCTATCCTTATTTTACAGTTGAAGAAATCAAGGCCCAGAAAAGTTAGAGATGTGTCCCAAGCACAACGCCGGTAACCAAAAGAGCCCCGGGGCTCACTCACAGAAGACATGGTCAACAGGGATGGCTCTGGGAGAGAGAACTGAGGAAGTCAGTGTTCCCCGTACACATTGTGTGCTAGTTTGAATGGCTTTCACCATGTGCAAGCACTGCTTTTGCAAACGCGTAATTCTAAACAATCTCCACCACCTCAGCCTTCAGTACACTCCTAAGTAACAGCTCAGAAACAGGCAATTCAGCCAGGAGCCACCATGCTGCCTCCCAGAGCAGCCCAGCACTGGACAGCCTGATGCCCTGGGCGGAACCTGGCCCGGCAAGTCCTGGATGCCTTCTACCTGCACCCAGCTCATCCTCCAGGCCCCAGGACACACGGGTGCTCAACCCTGGATGGGGGCCAAAGGCCACCGAGCTGGAAGGGACAAGAGGTCTCCTGGCCCACCACATGTTTTCCAGAGGAGGAGGTCCCCTGCTGCCCTGTGGTCAGCCACAGCATTCGCTCACGTCCTGGTTTGTTGAGCCAGTACTTATTGCAGCTGGCCTGCATGGAGAGCAGGTGCTGCCACAGCTAGAACAAGCCCCGCCCTCAGGAGCTTCCAGCAGTTAGAGGCGGGGGACAAGAAGGGCAGCAATTGCACCACCCATGGCAAAACTGCAGCAGAAAAATGTGTGGACAGGTGGCTGAGTGCCAAGGTGATCAGGGCAGACCGTGAGGGCCGAGATCGCTAGAGATGGCAAAGCCTGTGCCCTTGGAAAGGCCCAGGGAAGCCCAGCCCAGCCCACCCTGGCCTGGAGAGCCAGGCCAAGAGGGTCTTCACCCCAAACTCAGTGAAAGAACCAGGAAGACTTTAGGAGAGGGTGGGTTGGGAAGATGGGGTTTGCATTCAAAAGCCGCGAATAGGCCCATTGAGGGAGGAACGCGTTTCTTTTTCGTTTGATGTGGTCTTTTTAAGTTTTTTATTCTTAGGTTCAGTGGTATATGTGCAGGTATATAGGTAAATTATGCAGGTATATACATAAATTGTTATATAGGTAAATTATGTTTCACAGGGGTTCAATGAACGGATTATTTCATCACCACCAGGTAAGAAGCACAATACCTGATAGGTGGTTTTTGATTCTCTCTCCCTCCTCCCATCCTCCACCCTCCAGTGGGACCCGGTGTCTCTTGTCCCCTTTTTTGTGTCCATATATGTTCAATATTTAGCTCCCACTTCTAAGTGAGAACATGCAGTGTCTGGCTTTCTGCTCCTGTGTTAGTTCACCAGGGCTGATGGCCTCCAGCGCCATCCATGATGCTGCAGAGGACGTGGCCTCCCTCTTCTCTGTGGCTCTGTGGTAGTCCATGGTGTGTATGTGCCACGTTTTGTTTTGTTTTGTTTTGTTTTGTTTTTTTGAGACAGGGTCTCACTCTGTCATCCAGGCTGGAGTGCAGTGACTCAGTCTTGGCTCACTGCAGCCCTGACTTCCTGGGCTCAGGCGATCCTCCATGCCACCTCACCCTGTTAATTTTTGTATTTTTTGTATAGATGACGTCTCACTATGTTTCCCAGGCTCGTCTCAAACGCCTGGGCCCAAGTGATCCTCCCACCTCGGCCTCCCAAAGTGTTGGGATTACAGACATAAGCCACCACGCCTGGCCTCAGAATGTGTTTTTGAATAGAAACACACATATCTGGCTTCACTGAGTAGGAACTAAATTAAAATTTAAAGAAAAAGAGGGTGGGCATGGTGGCTCACACCTATAATCCTATCACTTTGGGAAGCTGAGGGGGGTGGATCACCTGAGGTCAGGAGTTGGAGACCGACCTGGCCAACGTGGTAAAACCCTGTCTTTATTAAAAATACAAAAATTAGCCTGGTGTGGGGCCAGTGCCTTTAATCTCAGCTACTCGGGAGGCTGAGGCAGGAGAACTGCTTGAACCCGGGAGGCAGAGGTTGCAGTGAAGCAAGATTGTGCCACTGCACTCCAGCCTGGGTGACAAAGCAAAACTCCATGTCCAATAAATAATAAAAAATAAATGAATATGCCAGGCGCGGTGGCTCACGCCTGTAATCCCAGCACTTTGGGAGGCCGAGGCGGGTGGATCACGAGGTCAAGAGATCGAGACCATCCTGGTCAACACGGTGAAACCCCGTCTCTACTAAA